CAGGCGTATTGCAGTGGGGGCAATGTGGATGAAATTCCATACTCTCCTCTCTAGGCGCCTTGACCTTTTATTCCCCGTTAGGTACGGAGATTAGCGAATGTTTCACCAATAATCTATGAAATATAATATTTACTGGCTGTTGGGAGAAGTAAATTGACCTACATTTTGGCATTTTTCAAAATAAAAATGTTTAACGATATTAGATTATTTTTTTTATAACTGTGACACAGTATTTGTATTTTGAAAAATGCCCAACTGGAGTAGCAAAAAGTTGTTTTTGGAACAGATAGTAAATAATATGTTTTATGGATTTTAGTTGATCAGCCAGTTGCATATTAGTGCAACCAACAGAATATTCGTAATAAAACTTGTAATTTTCGGATGTTTTCCTATTAATTGACTCATAAAAATAATTTTTTTTTATCAATATTAACTTACATGAAGGTCCTAGAAATCAATTGTATTTTTACTTTTTTAGGGGTTCTAATTGCATGAAAATGTTTTTCAATTAGTTTTAATTTTAAACGTCCAAAAATTACACGTTTTATGAAAAAGAATTCCGGTTTTATAATTTGTCGAACTTCCGTGTGTCATGCATAGAGGACAGCGTGAGTAAATTTCATACTTCTCCTAAAAAGTGGCTTTAGGTTCGTTTTAGTGGATTAGGCCTATTTGGGGATACCACTATAAAAAAAACGCGCCTCGTGCAGTACCTCAAACGATTTTCGTTTAACGTCTTGTATTCCTTGTAATAATTCATTGACGTTTACCGATCGTGAAGGTGGTGTGGAAAATTGCACACTGTTATTTATTATAAGTGCTATTAGAACTATTGTGTATGTTCAATAATTATAATACTTAATATCGTTCTATAAGTCTTATTGAAATATACAACTTGTTATTATTATTGTGATACTTAATTTAATTATAATATAACGATTGAAAATTTATTAAAAAAAAAATAAAAAAAATGTTATATTATTTATATTTCAAAGTTAATGTCCTGTTGTATTATTATTTTATATTCGGTAGCTAGAAATTTAATAGAAGTTCATTTACTTAGTTTTACAAAACTCAACTGTAGTATTGACATTATGTTTTAAACGATAGAAAGGCAGAAATTGGTGCAATATACTAAATTGTATTGTTAACCTTTTCAAATGATATATGGTTGCATTTACAATTTTATTTTATAACAATCGATCTAATAGGAGTATTAATAGACAAAGCGTATTAGCGTAGATTCATACGGACTACAAAAACAAATAGTTGTTGTAAATAATATCAGTAATATAGTAATCGCTATATTTTTAATATAACCCAAATTATCTGTGATCACTATAAATCTCAGTTTACTTAATGGAACTTGTAAATTTAAAAAAACACATATTTGTCACGGGTGTAACCGAAAATTTCAGTAGTAACAATCATATAGTAATCGTTTCCATTTTTATTTTTCAGTGATATGATCATTGCTTTTTATTACGACATGTACTAATTTTCGTCTCGCTTTTGGTATTAATTGTTAATATCCGATATATGATCTAAACAAGATGGATTATAATATTCTAACTTGTGTCTACTTTTGAACGGAGTATAGGTAAATGCATTATTGTAATTTGAAATAGGATGGCGGCAAAAACAATTACTAAACGTAGGTTAAAAATACTATGAATATAAACGTCNCAGTAATATAGTAATCGCTATATTTATAATATAACCCAAATTATCTGTGATCACTATAAATCTCAGTTTACTAAATGGAACTAGTAAATTTAACTAAACACATATTTGTCAGGGGTGTAACCGAAAATTTCAGTAATAACAATCATATTGTAGTAATCGTTTCAATTTTTTTTTTCAGTGATATGATTATTGCTTTTTATTACGACATGTACTAATTTCCGTCTCGCTTTTGGTATTAATATTTAATATCCGATGTATGATCTAAACAAGATGGATTATAATATTATAACTTGTATCTACTTTTGGACGCAGTATAGGTAAATACATAATTATAATTTGAAATAGGATGGCGGCAAAAACAATTACTAAACGTAGGTTAAAAATACCATGGATATAAACGTGTTTCTGTTATCAGCGATAATGTCCCGGGCTGTCAGTTACGTGACGCGTTTCTAGCAAGTGTTAGAAATTAAAAATTTTTGTTTAATAAATACAAATTTAATAATTATAATATTCTAATCGGTACATATTTAATGAATGTAATGATTATAATAGTATGCGTTTATGACCTACCTATATTAATTTTTCATTATTTTCTGTCATAGATCATAATGTTTTAATGGTTCTATTCTTCCTAGTTGCTGTTCAAAAGTATCAGTTGACCTTTATCCATATATATTTGTAGCGCCTTTCTTTTTGCCAATGACTTTGAGACTTCCCTACAATCATTTTCATTTAGGATACAGTGTTATACAGTTCCTAGATATTGTCAAGTGTCAATTAATATAAATACATATATTTAAAAGTAATATAGTGGTGTCAAAATAGATAATATAAATAATTATTATTTTAGGCGAATCGGTTTTGAATAACAGACACCAAAAGTGAAAAGGACTCTCTGATGATATCTAAGATGAAAAGAAACAAGAATTCGATACATAAATGATCAAACGCTAGTGAGTATTGTCTATAAATTAAAATTTTATGTATCAAAAAATTATAGCTATAACACTAATGCGACCAAATTATAATTGTCTCACATGGTTCTAATATTTTAGATGATCCACGGCACAAAAGTATGCAAGATTCTCGTATTGGTACAATGGATTAGAAACCGAATGGTGGAAAGAAATTTAGATTAAAAACTTTTTATACTAAAATGTCTGGCTCATGTGGTAGGAATGTGTATTTTAATCATAAAAGTCTCTTATCGAAATATTTAATACAAATTAAAAACTTTCAAAATACATAATTTGATTAATTTTGAATAGCATCGCGGTTTGCCTTATTAAACATCACTTAAAATATTTTTTGTAGTAATTTGTAATATGAACAGTAATGTTCTAATGTATAATTTCACAATAATTGATATAAATGAAATAAATATAGACACTGAACTGATTGAATTTATATAGAATATTAGTTTGCCCATGGAAAAATCTTTTAAATATTTAACAATCCAGTTCTTTGTGATAGAAATGTGTGTTTTAATCATGATTATGTCTTAATAAATAATTTCATAATAATAGATACAAATTAATACTTAAATACACATTCATTGTTTTTATTTATATGGCATAGCTGTTTGTTTGCATTAAAAATCCTTATGTAGGTCTCTGTGATTTAAATGTATAATGATGAGGCACATGTTTTGATATGTAATTTCATTAAATTTGATACAAATTGTATACATATAGACACAATGTTTGTTTGAATTTATAGAGAATATTAGTTTGCCTATAAATATTTATTTTGGATTTCCTTTTCAATATATCAAATCTGTTTATTTGTGATAGGAATATGTATTTTGATAAGTTATGCATTTTAAAATATAATTGTACACTATTACATACAAATGGAATACTTTTAAATGTATAATTTGTTTTAATTTGAAGTTTTTTTCTGTTAGTGAAATTTTTCTAATGATCAGACACTATTTTATATTTATAATTTTATAAGTTTTGATGCAATATAAATACTTTTGGGCACAGTTTTGTTTGAANATTTCTTTGTGATAGGAATATGTATTTTGATTAGTTATGCATTTTAAAATATAATTGTACACTATTAAATACAAATGAAATACTTTTAAATGTATAATTTGTTTTAATTTGAAGTTTTTTTTCTGTTAGTAGAATGTTTCTAATGATCAGACATTAGTTTATATTTATAATTTTATAAGTTTTGATGCAATTTTAATACTTTTGGGCGCAGTTTTGTTTGAATTTATGTAGAATATTCGGTACAGCTTAAAACACTTATAAATACATTATTTATTTGAAATTGGAATTGAAGGGTTTTTTGTTTGTGTTAAAAACCCTTCTGACTTTGACTTTTAATAATGATTAATTGTTTTGTTGTGATAGGAATGTTTTTTATTGTCATACTTTCTTATGCTGCATAATTTCAGTATAATAAATACAAATT